CCCTTTGTCGAATATTAATTGAGCATAGTGGTTTGGGTCGATTTCTATTCTATTCCATTGATCTATATGTCTGTTCTTGTGTCAGTACCAAGCTGTTTTACGAACAGTGGCTTTGTAATACAGTTTGATATCTGGTATTGAGATCCCACCAACTTTGTTCTTCTTTCTCAGGATTGCCTGCAGCTATTCGAGGTCTTTTTTTATTCCCGATGAATTTTGGAACGTTCGTTCTAGATCTGTGAAATATGCCGTTGGTAATTTAATGGGGATTGCATTGAATCTATAGATTGCTTTGGGTAGTATGGACATTTTGATGATGTTGATTCTACCAATCCATGAACACGGTATGTTTTTCCATCTGTTTATGTCTTCCTCTATCTCTTTTTTCAGTGTCCTGTAGTTTTTCGCGTGTAAGTTTTTTATCTCCTTAGTTTAGTTTATTCCTAGGTATCTTAATTTTTTTGGTGTGATGGTAAATGGGATTGCTTTTTTAGTCTCACTTTCTGTAAGTTCACTATTGGTGTAAAGAAATGCCATGGATTTCTTGGCATTAATTTTGTATCCTGCTACATTGCCAAATTCATTTATTAAGACCAATAATTTTTTGATGGAGTCTTTAGGGTTCTCTATGTACAGTATCATATCATCTGAAAATAAGGACAGTTTTACCTCTTCTTTTCCAATTTGGATGCCTTTTATTTCTTCTTCTTGTCTAATCGCAACAGCTAGTACTTCCAGTACTATGTTGAACAGGAGTGGTGAGAGGGGGCATCCCTGTCTTGTTCCTGTTTTTAGGGGGAATGGTTTTAGTTTTTGCCCATTGATTATGATGTTGGCTGTGGGTTTGCCATATATGGCTTTTATTATGTTGAGGTACGATCCTTCTATTCCTACCTTGCTGAAAGTTTTTATCAAGAAAGGGTGTTGAATTTTGTCAAAAGCTTTTTCTGCATCAATTGATATGATTATGTGGTTTTTTTCTCTCAATTTGTTTATGTGATGTATTATGTTTATTGATTTGTGGATATTGTACCATCCTTGCATCCCTAGAATAAATCCTACTTGGTCATGGTGTATGATCTTTTTGATGTACTGCTGGATCCGATTTGCTAGGATTTTGGCATCTATGTTCATGAGAGATATTGGCCTGTAATTCTCTTTCATTGTGTTGTTTTTATCTGGTTTTGGTATTAAGGTGAGGCTGGCTTCATAGAATGAGCTTGGAAGTGTTCCTTCTTCTTGAATTTTTTGGAGTAGTTTGAGGAGGATAGGTTTTAGTTCTTCCTTGAATGTTTGGGAAAACTCCCCTGTGAAGCTGTCTGGGCCCAGGGTTTTGTTTGCTGGAAGGTTTTTGATTACTGCTTCAATTTCCTCCATAGTTATTGGTCTATTGAGATTTTAAGCTTCTTCCTGATTAAGTTTTGGAAGTTGTATTTTTCTAGGAATATGTCCATTTCCTCAAGATTGTCTGTTTGTTGGAGTAGAGTTGTTCATAGGATTTTCTAACAATCCTTTGGATTTCTGGGGGGGCTGTTGGTATTTCTCCTCTTTCATTTCTGATTTTGTTTATTTGGGGCCTTTCTCTTTGGTTCTTGGGGGAGCGTGGCTAGAGGTTCATCAATCTTGTGTATCCTTTCAAAGAGCCAGCTCTTGGTTTTGTTGATCTTTTGTATTGTTTTTTTGGTCTCTATGTCGTTTATCTCTGCTCTGATCTTTATTATTTCCTTCCTTCTGCTTACACTGGGCTTTTCTTGTTGCTCTCTTTCTAACTCTTTGAGTTAAAGAGTTAGGTAATTTATTCTCATTGTTTCTTGTTTCTTGCAGTAGGCTTGTAGCGCTATGAACTTCCCTCTCAAGACTGCTTTCACTGTGTCCCATAGGTTTTGGGTTGTTGTGTTTTCATTGTCGTTTGTTGCATGATGTTTTTTATTTCTTCTTTGATCTCTCTGTTAACCCAGTCATTGTTTAATAGCGTGCTATTTAGTCTCCATGTGTTTGATTTTTTTGGATTGTTTTTATTGTAGTTGATTTCCAGTTTTATGCCACTGTGGTCTGAGAAGATGTGTGATATGATTTCAATCTTCTTGAATTTGAAGAGACTTTGCCTGTGACTAAATATATGGTCTATCTTTGAAAATGACCCAGGTGCACTTGAGAAGAATGTATATTCTGTTGTTTTGGGGTGAAATGTTCTGAAGATGTCAATTAATTCCATCTGATCTAGTGTGTCATTTAGGATTGATGTTTCTTTGCTGATGTTTTGTTTAGAGGATTTGTCCATTGGTGATAATGGGGTGTTAAAGTCCCCTACTATGATTTTGTTGCTGTCAATCTCTCCCTTGATCTCCTCTAAAAGATTTCTTATGTATTTGGGTGCTCCTATATTGGGTGCGTATATGTTTACCAGAGTTATTTCTTCTTGTTGGATTGCTCCCTTTAGTATTATGAAATGGCCTTATCTCTTTTTATGTCCTTCACTTTGAGATCTAATTTGTCAGATATAAGTATTGCTACCCCGGCTTTTTTTCTGCTTCCATTTGTCTGAAAAACCTTTTTCCATCCCTTCACCATCAGTCTGTGTGCGTCTTTTTTTCTGAGGTGGGTTTCCTGTAGACAGCAGATATATGGGTCATGTTTTCTTATCCACTCAGTTACCCTATGTCTTTTGATTGGGGCATTTAATCCATTTACATTTAAAGTTATTATTGATAGATACTTGTTTGTCGCCATTTTTATTCTTTACCCCTGTGATCCTTCTTTGTTTCCTGTTTTTTCTTTTTACAGAAGACCCTTTAGCATTTCTTGCATTGCTGGTTTGGTGGTAATAAACTAACGTAGTCCTTTTTTGTCTGTGAAGCTCCTGATTTGACCCTCAATTTTGATTGATGGATTCAGACCCTTCCTTTGCATGACTTTGTATATTTCATTCCATTCCCTTCTTGCCTGATGTGTTTCTGTTGAGTAATCAGTCACTAGTCTGATGGGGGATCCTTTGTAGATAACTTTCTGTCTCTCTCTGGCTGATTTTAAGATTCTTGCTTTGTCATTGGTGTCTTCCAATTTAATTATAATATGCCTTGGCGTCGGTCTTTTGGGGTTCATTTTGTTTGGGACTCTGTGAGCTTCTTGGATTTGTGTGAGTTTTTTCTTTCCTATATCAGGGAAGTTTTCTGTCATTATTTTTTCAAACAGGTTTTCTATTCCTTGCTCAGTTTTCTCTTCCTCTGGCACCCCTATTATTCGGATGTTGTTTTGTTTCGTGTTGTCCCAGAGTTCTCTTAGGCTCTCTTCCTGCTTTTTAATTTTATTTTTCTAGAAGCTGCTCTGCTTGGGTATTTTTTCCTACCTTGTCTTCTAGCTCACTGATGCGGTCCTCTGCTTCTTCTAGTCTAATGTTGATGCTTTCTATTGAGTTCTTTATAGCAGTGATATCATTTTTCATTTCTTCTTGATTTTTCTTCATTTCCTCTTGGTTCTTACACATATTGTTGAATTTGTCTTCCATTCTTTTCATCCACCTTATGGCCATTTCTCTGAATTCTTTCTCTGACAGGTTGCTTGCCTCCATTTCCTCCATTTTGTTTACTTCCTTTTCTGGTGATGCCCGGTTTTCTTTCATATGCGGGCTGGTTCTTTGTTTCACCATGATCTCTCTTCTCCAGATGTTTGCTTATGTAGTTCTCGCTCTGCTTTCCGTGGGGAGAAGCAGGGTTCCTCTAAGTTCATGTAGTCACGCTGCTTGGGGTCCATTGTTTCCGGGTTAGTAGCCGATCTCTGGATGCGGTGGATGCCAGGTCTTTGGCTTTATACGCTCCCAATAACAGCCACTCAAGATGGCGCGTTCTCTGCGGCTGAGCCGGCGCTCCGGGAGAGATTTCAGCCACAGTCTCCAACCGTTCCCTTTCTCCCCTTAAAGGATTTTTTTAATTTAACCAAATTTAATATACTTGAAATCACATGGAAAGCTTTATCAAATACAAATTAATAAATATATTTTACTTATATCTTAAATATTATAAAAGGTTTTGCCTCTAAGAAGTGCAAAATAAAGTATTTCTATTATGTCCCACTTTAAATAATACTATACAATTTCACAAATATTTTAAGAACCTCATGATAGTGTACATGAATGCCTCTCCCTGTCCTTTGTGCTATTGTTACCATATATTTTATTTTTATGTACTAACCCCTCAAAACACTGTTACTACTTATGCTTCAGTAAATTATATTTTAGAATGATTAAAAATAATAGAGTTTTATATTTATTTTTTCCATTTCTATAGATATGTTTATTTTTGCCATTTCTATAGATTATTTCTCTGTATAGATCCAGTGTTTCTGACTGGTGCGATATTCCTTGTGATTGAAGGATTTCATTAACATTTTTTCTAGTACTGGCCTTCTGATGGTAAATTCTCTTGGTTTTTGTTCATCTGTGAAAGACTTTATTTTCACCTTCAAATTTGAAAGATATTTTGGGTCTCAGTATAGAATTTTGAGTTGACAGGTTTTTCCTCCCTTATTAGTACTTTAAAGACATAATTTTATTTTCTTCTACCTTGCGTTGTTTCTGGTGAGAAGCCTCTTTTAACCATTATGTTTCCTCCTCTATCTATAACGTGTCTTGCATGTCTGACTAGGTAAAGATGTTCTTTTTATCCTTGGTTTTAGCAATTTGAATATGATGACTCCCAGTCAATATAGGGTTTGAATTTAATTTTTTCTAGTGGTGATGGAGAGTGAGGAGGTTCCGCCCTGCAGTTGTATCTGTGTGTGCTACAGCAGAGGTGAAGTTTAGGAACATCACATTACTATCAGTGTAACTCCAGTAGAGGCCTTGGTGTTGAAGTTATCCTTAGTCAATTGTGTCAGTGAGCAACAGAAGATGCATCTGAGACTTCCTTTTCTGAATTTATCACCAATGTTAATTTTCAGATAGCACTAGAAAAGTCAGCAGGGATATCATTGTAAATACATACTTAATTTTTTCTTTAATAAAGCAAACTAGATTTAATGAAGAACTGCAAAAGGAAAAGGATCAGCCTAAAGAGACACCTAAGAAGGAAGCAGCAAGCACCTTACGTAAAGCTAATCCTGGCTCAGACAAGAGTATGTTGGAGAAGAACCAAATTAATTTTGGGAAGAATCACATGATCAAGAGATTAAAGCCAAGTTTAAACTGGAAGACCACTATTGGTTCCAAAGAGTATGTAGACATTTGCATGATGGGATTTTAAAACCATCTTTAGTGACCATATTTGTCTAATTTTTTACAGAACTTTATTTCATAGTAGAAAATACAGAGTAGTATTCTTTCCTGCTCCTCTTCCTATTTCAAGCAGAGAGATTTGACAGGCAACAGGGTTTATATGTGGGTTCTGGAAAGGGAATGGAAGAACACAATTCACTTTCATGTAGTTGGTAAGTTGGGCAAATAACTTGAAAAAGATGATACAACACATGGAGAAATCACATGGGCTACTTGTTAAGTGGGAGGTGAATTTTTAAATTCAGCTTTTTGTATGTGCTTATTTTTTTAAATTAAGAATTTACCTAAGTGTTAAATGAAAACCAAGTAGGTGCCAAAGACTATGCTAAAGCTGGGGATACATGGAAAATCAGATACAGGCCTTTCTGTAACATTGGGTGGAGAAGGTAAAAAAAATAGACAACTACGATCAAGGCAGTAATCTACTAGATTAAAAGGTACAGAGTAAAGTCCTTTCACAATGATGGCAGCCTTTGAAGACATGTTCCTAGTACAAAGGAATACTGAACAAATTGCTTCTTCATTATAGAAAGTGCATGACTGTGCTCAAAGGAAATTCTCTGTGTCTGGAAAACACATAATTTGGGGGCATGAAAATGTTGGAATACTTGTATACATTTCCATTTTTAATTTCCTATTAATTACCAAAAAGTAACTAATAAAGAATGTTTTTAGACACAGAACCTCACTTCATGAGGAAAAACATGGCGGAAGACTTGAAAAGTCAGCACCATCTGTTTCACCTGGAAAAGCACAATTGGTTCGGTATGTTTCTGTTAACCAGTTCTTTAACACCATTTCTTACATGATGTGCTAACTAATCCTAACTAATGGCATTCTTACTCTTAGGGTGCCAAGATATTTATACTGACAGTTACTAGTAATGTTTTGCACAATGATCATACTGGATTTCTTTTAGTGCAGAGCTGGAAGAAATGGCAGAAATCTCACATTGTGAAGTTTTCAACTTGGGAAAAAATAACAAACTTTAAGATACTCTACTACATTTATACTACTTGGGGGGGGGGATTGTCAATATAATAAACACTAATTTGTTTGACAATTCTTCAACTTTTTATTTTTAAATAACTATAGATTCACAAAAAGTTGCAGAGATACTACAGAGAGGTCTCATCTCCCCTTCACCTAGCTTCCCCCAAAGGTGACATCTAGGGTAACTACAGCATAATATCAAAACCAGGAGGGTAGCATCGGTACAATGTATATGTATACTTCATGCCATTTTGTCACATGTAAATGGTGTGGTGACTATGGCAATCCAGAAACAGGACTATTCCATCACTACACAGAGCTCCTTCCTGCTGCCCCTTATAGTCATACCCACTCCCTTCCCCCCATTATTCCCAGTCCCTGGCAACTGTTAATCTGTTTTCCATTTCTATAATTTTGTCATTTTGAGAATGTCATATAAACATAATCATAAATTTTTTGTACTGGCTGTGTTTTTCATCTAATACTCTTGACATTCATCCAAGTTGTGGCATGTATTAGTAATTTGTCTCTTTTTTTTTGCTAAGTAGTATTCCATGGTATGGATGTACCATACTGTAATTTCTCACCTATTGAGGGAAATTTTCATTCCTCTCAGTTTTTGGCTATTACAATTAAGGTGGTTGTAAATAATTATAGACAAATTTCTATATGGATGTAAGCTTTCATTTCTCTAGGACAGCGGTTCTCAACCTGTGGGTCGTGACCCCTTTGGCGGTCGAACGACCCTTTCACAGGGGTCGCCTAAGACCATCCTGCATATCAGATATTTACATTACGATTTATAACAGTAGCAACATCACAGTTATGAAGTAGCAACGAAAATAATTTTATGGTTGAGTCACAACATGAGGAACTGTATTTAAAGGGCCAGAAGGTTGAGAACCACTGCTCTAGGATAAATGCCCAATTGCCGACACATGTAATAATTGTGTGTTTAGCTTTATAAGAAATTGCCAGATTCTTCCAGAGTGGCTGTACCATTTTACTATCCTACTAACAATGTATGAGACTCAGTTTCTTCTTATCCTTGCCAACATTTGGTATTGCCATATTTTTTATTTTCTCTGCACTAAAAGATGTGTAGTGTTGTCTCATTATGGAATTAGCATTTCCTAAAATGGCTAGTGATATTGAACATCTTTTCATGAGCTTATTGCTCATGTATGTTCTTCAGTGAAATGTCTTGTATGTCTTTTGCTTATTATCCAATCAGATCATATTTTGTTTTTAAATGTTGTGTTTTGAGAGTTCTTTATCTATTTTGGGTATCCTAGGTTGGATATGTGGTTTGCAAATATTTTCTCCTCTCTGTAACTTGTTTTTTTCATTCTCTTAATATAGGGTCTCTCATAAAACAAGTTTTTAATTTTGATAAAGTTCAATGTATCAATTTTTCTTTTATGGATTGTGCTTTTGATGTCATGTCTAAGAACTCTTTGTGATGCCTCTAGTCCTGAAGATTTTCTCCTTTGTTTTTCTCTAAAAGTTGTGTTATTTTTACATTAAAGACTGTGATCCATTTTGAGTTAATTTTATATATAAGGTGTGAGGCTTAGGCCAAGCTACACTTTTTTGCCTATGGATGTCCAGATGCTCCAGCACCATTTGATGAAAAGACTGTCTTTTCATCATTGAATTGCTTTTGCATTGTTAAAAAAAACCAGTTGGGTGTGTTTATGTGAGTCTATTTCTGGGTCTCTATTATATTCAGTTGATTTTTATCTGTAGCCTTTCATGAATACCACACTGTCTCGATTACTGTAGCTATATAGTAAATCTTGAAATATGGTAAAGTGGTTATTCTCACCTTCTTTTAAAATTGTTTTTGCTATTCTAGTTTCCTTCCTTTTCACATAAATTTAGAATAATCTTGCTATATCTATTTTAAAAAATGTGCCAAAAATTTTGATGTTTTTACTATGTAGAGTAATCTAATCTATAAACACTATGTGTGTCTTCATTTGGACTTTTTATTTATTTCACCAGCATTATGTAGTTTTTAGCATACAAGTCCTGTACAAAATTTTGTTAGATTTATATCTGGAACTAGAGACTCCAGTACAATGCTAAATAGCAGTGGTCAGCCGAAACCGGTTTGGCTCAGTGGATAGAGCGTCGGCCTGCGGACTGAAAGGTCCCAGGTTCGATTCCGGTCAAGGGCATGTACCTGGGTTGCGGGCACATCCCCGGTGGGAGGTGTGCAGGAGGCAGCTGATCGATGTTTCTCTCTCATCGATGTTTCTAACTCTCTATCTCTCTCCCTTCTTCTCTGTGAAAAATCAATAAAATATATTTAAAAAAAAAATAGCAGTGGTCAAAGTGGACATCCTTGTTTGTTCTCCATCTTAGGGGAAAATGTCTTTCACTATAGTAAGTACAATGATAGTGTCGGTTTTGTACATATTCTTTATCAAGTTGAGGAAGTCCCCCTCTGTTCTTGTCTTTGGTTTTTTTTTAGAGTTTTTATCATTTAGGTAGATGTTGCTGAAATAGTAACGTTATAAGCATGTACATGCTGTGACATAAATATATTTATTATATGTTGTTGTTATTATTCTTAGTAAGAGTGCTGACAAGGTTGAGGAAATTGTTAGTGAGAGCTCCTCAGAGAGTGAAGAAGATGAAGAACCACCTGATCATCGCCAGGAAGCAAATGCAGATTTGCCATCGGAATATTGGCAGATTCAGAAGCTGGTGAAATATTTGAAGGTAAGACAGACCCTTTGTACTATGTTTGCAATGTTTATTTTTAAATCCTTGCCCCAAATGTATATTCTGCTTCCGAGTTTATTGTATGTTTCTTTCAAATAAGGGTTGTAGGAACCCTATTTTTATTTAAATGTGTACAGGGAGGAAGGTCTTATTCCCTCTAGGATGGCAAGGTTAGTCCTCCTGGAGCAGGCAGGCTGCCTAGAGCCAGCTATCTTGCTTAGAGCATCTGGGTAGCACCAGATACTATGACTTACCACCAGTGAGGTGTGATGGAAAGAGCATGAATTTTTGAAGTTGGACTAATTTTTCTGCTGTACCACTTACTAGCAGTGTGGCTGTTGAAAAGTTTGGTTTGAGCCTTATTTTTCTCAACCTATGGTATAAAATAAGTATCCTATAGGATTAGTTTAAGGATTGAGAAAACATTTGAAACATGTGGCATAGTGTCTGATACATAGTAGGTACTTAAAATATTCATTGGTACATTTCCATTATTATCTTCAGTAATAAAACATACATATGAAAACAGTTTACATAATAACTGGCCATATAATGTTGTATTTAAGTACTTGGATGGTGGTGGGATTGGGGGAGGAAATCAGAGAAAATGATTTGCCAAAACCCAGATTAATATTATTTTCTAATATTGGATAGCTAATATTGATCACGTCTAGGCTGTGTTTAAAGCAAAAGTCCAGAAGTACTTGTGAAAACAACATTATGGCTTATCTCATGTTTTCCTTCTGCTTCTCCATGTCTTTGGTCAAATCAACATGGGCATTTGCCAATGCCTTTGCATACTTAAAGGCATTTAGGTAACTCCTAAAGTGCTAATGGGTACTTTTCCTGTGCCTTTGAGGTCTTCCAGAACTGACAGGTAAAATAGCCTATTTGTGCATATTTTTGTGAATTCTCCAAGGCCCTGCATAGATATGGCCTTGTAGGCATAAGTCAGTTGAAAAAGTTTTTCTTGCAAGAAACATATGCCCCTTCCTCTGTCAGACACAGTCTCAGCTGCAATTTATAGAAAAAGAAAAGTTTTCCTGAATCCCATGGAAAGGTAGTCAAGAAATTTGGAAAATGGGGAAAGGATTCTAATTCTCCTTGGAGAATTAAAATTTAGACATTGCTGATTCAAAGGAACTTACTAACATCATTGAAAGCAAGAGCAGTTAATTATCTAAGCTTGGTAATCATTCCATAATATATCTGTATAGCAAATCACATTGTACACTTTAAATAGAGATAATTATATTTGTCAATTATTCCTCAATAAAGTTGAAAAAACACACAATGCTAACAGTACAATCAAAGTTGAAAGTAGGCATTTCTAAGCGTCAGGACAGAAGCAAATAGGAGAGAAGTGATCATAATCTAATGTCAGCCTTGCCTGTAGCATTTGCCATTTTCTAAATGTGTGTCTGCTGCTAACAGTGAGTCATTCTTGCATAACTATTAATATGTTTATATGCATAGTATACTTTATACAAATCCTATTAGTGGTGTTCCAAGAAATAACAAATTTGAAAGCAAAATAAGTCATTAAATTTTAATTGAGATTTCCACTGTAGCCTTGTCAAGCTTGCTAAACAGATCTGAATGTTATGTTTTTTTGGATGTACTACCCAATAATTTTGCTGGCATTTTTTGGTGTTTGAATATTATTACAATTTGTTCTTTCTAAGTAATTTAACAGAAGAAATTCAAAGGGAAGATTATGTGAATATGTTGTGGAACATTCCATTATAAAACCAGAAACTGATGTTAAATCTGAATTAATAAAAACAGCAAAGACTTAGATGGCCAATCCAGAATCAGGACAAGCAGATAAAATATTTTCATCATTAAAAAAGGAAATGAGCTTATGTGAAGCAAACCCTAATGCCTGCCTTGGCTATGCTTTTAGAAGCCTCTTAATAATTTGACCAATGTCAATACAAAATGAAAGAAAAATTACCTTTTTACATCTAGAATATTAGCCAAGAAGCAAAAGCCAACACTGTTGGATAGAACGATCAATGCTTTGTGTGTTTTAAAATTTAACTTTAAGAATGATATCTTATAAATGTAAATATTTTAATATCATTTTTCAATTTCTAAAATGACTTTTATTTGGCCTTTATATTGTGTTAATGTTCCTCTCTTTTAGTGTTTTCTGGTCTCAAATATCAGGTAGAGATAATTTTTAAATGTTGTAATATATATAGCTTATTTTTTTTTACAGAAAACCTCTGAAATTTTTAGCATTGCTACCACACAAAAAATGATACACTGTTTAACATTATTCTCTTGTATGGTCAGGATTATTATTTTTACAATGTAAATAAAGTTTAGGAAAAAGTATGGGGTAACATGATTTCTGGAATTCCTAAGAATTTCTGGGAATTCTGATTTCTTATTCTAAAATTTGAAGATTCATATCTGTTAGAAATTTGGAAACACTAGCATGGAGCACAGGCTGGAGTTCAGGCCCCATGGTCCATCCTGTACCCCTTTGACAGGTGTCTTTGCGCACAAGCCATACATACAGTCAACATGGTGGCTTAGCTGGGCATGCACGGCAGCAATGTACAGACTCAGGAGACCTTCCTGGCAGTGACTTGATCCTTTTCTGAACTGCAGAGCTGCCCTGATCTCTCCTCTACTCATAAAGAGCATATCACCCACCTGGAGAAAAGATTGGCAGTTTATAACTTTTGTCACCAAAAACTTGGGCAGCTTGAGCCAGACGAGCTTTGTCGATAAGACAGGGCCTTTGGAAGAGCCCTGGTGTTTATCCAAATAATTCTGGTCTATTAACTGCATTTCATTGGTGAAAGAAAATAGTCAAAGGGGTGCAAGTATCAGCAGGACCAGGAGTAGACTAATGGATTAGTAGTTAGCAGCACAATCTTCAATATCAGAAAGACTTCAGTTGAGTCAGGATCTGCCACTACTAGTTCTCTAGCCTTGGGAGAGCTGGTGGGTCTCTCTAGACTTCACTTTCCTCATTGGTCAAGATGGCAAAATAAAACGTCCCATATTTTAGAATTATTATGAATATTAAATGAAATCTAATACATGTAAGGTATTGGCAATAATAATAATTTCCATTACATATTATTGCTATAAACAGTGTATAGTGTGGAGTCTTGAGGTACACAAGTGATCTCTACTTTTGCTTTAAATTTTCTAGCAACCATTAAAAGGAGGGAAATGCGGTGAGTTAATTTGTTGAGGGAAAGATTCTTAATCATAATAAGATAGAAATAACTCAGTTGCCCATGTGTGTAACCCATCCTGGTGCTAAGAGCAGAAGGAATTTTCTCCCTGAAGACTTAAAGGGGCAGACTGTGAGTGAGGTAGTGAACATCTGCTTCAATAATATCCTCCCAGTGAACATGGTAAGGAGGTTCTCAAAATAGTCTAGTTATTGGATAACTATTTTAAGTTTTTCAACTATTTAGGATAAATACATATAATACTAGGCCAAAAAGGGATGCACTATTTCTGTCCCAGAACAGCTAAGAAAAACATTTATTGATGAAGTGCTATTTAAGCTCGCACAAGTTCTTCATCAATAAATTATGTGCAAATGTGATACTTTTGGCCAGACAGTAAATTGCTTGGAATTATTATAGTTCCCACAGGTAAATGTTCTTAGCATAGCCAATAAAAGAAAAAGTATATCTACAAATGATTTCAAGGTTTTGATGCAGATAGATATTTTATATGGAGATACAAAAGGATATTAAAAGTCTTTGAAATGCAAAATTGAATGTCTCTAGGTAATCTCAAAATAAATACACTTGACATTTAATTTATAAAATTATTTCTAAATGTAGACTTAAACTAGCAGAGAAATGTTAATGTTGACCTGACTTTCTACTTAATTTTCCAAGTACAGCAATGTCTGTGATTGTTGAAAAAAAATTTGATGAGCTCATTAATACTCAAATGGGTCAATGAACTATAGTTATTATTTATCCAGAGCTATGAGCTCAGATCTTGGCATGCAAGTAAAGGGAGTTTGTATTTAATTATTTGGCTTTGACACACGATCATTACATCTTGCAAGTTTTATATATGTATATATTCGTATAATCTGGATTTTTAGGACACAATTTAATTTTTTTCAGATGAATATTCAGAATTGTGGAAAGCCATATTTTTACATAAAATGTTATGACTTGACAATTTTTTAAATTTTCTTTTTATTGTTGACACTATTACAGATGTCCTCATTTTCCCCGTCTTTGCCCACCTCCACCTAGCCCCTGCTCCTCCCTTTCCTCTAGTCATCTCCACACTGTTGTCTGTGCCTACTATGGGTTATGCATATATGTTTTTGGCTAATCCCTTCACCTTCTTTCATCCAGTCTCCTCTTTCCCCTCCCCTCTGACAGCTGTCAGTCTTTTCTGTCTATCTATGCCTCTGTTTCTATTTTGTTTGTCAATTTATTTTGTAGAACACGATTTACTTTTTAAACTAATTAATACTTGGCTTTTTTACTCACCACATTCCAACCCCCCCTCCCATATAACTCTGTACCCTGGTTCTAAATGAAGCAATAACCCCCTTTCAGCTACCTTACTGAGATGCACTTGCATTCTGCCTTCTATCGTTAAGGTTTAGCGTGTCTGTCTTATCAGCTGTCTATCCTCTCAGAGACCATATTAAATTATTTGTCTTGCAGGGGTCTTGCTAGTGAGCACAGCCTTGCCTCTCAACCCTTTGCCCAAAAGGTGTCACTTTGAGAGCGCAAGGTTCTTGAGAGGCCAGGCTGTGCCATTCTTCACACTCAGGTCCTCGAGAGCAGTTCTCCCTCCCTGCGAACCACATTCTTCCTTCTGCATTGCTGACTTTCTGCAACTTCTCTTCCTCTTCTCTCTCCTCCTTTTTCTGCCCCCTTTCTCCTTGTAGGTGTACTATTTTGTATTCTGTATTTGCTAGCTTAATAAGGATATTATTTTCTTTCCTGGCTAGAAATGCTCCAAAATCTTGCAGTTTTGCTATG